CCAGAGATAGGGGGGAATGAGTGTGAAATTATCATGCTTCGGGGGAGGAGGACGCTGCGGTCCCTGTAGAGCTGGAGGAGTCTTCCGGTAGGGAGACCAGAGGTACGTCAGCTAGGCTGCCGCCCGAGCTACTGGACCTGAGACTGTGGGAGGAGCCTGCGGGCAATAAACAAAATGTAATTAATACGTAAGGTGTTATAAAGCAATAGCCTCGACTGAGAGTCAGAGGTGTTGTTCTAATTTAGAGATTTAGCTTGCGAGCTAAAGCTAGAATAGTCTGAGCTTTGAGACCCAGCAGCTAGCTGGCTTGGGGTCCAAGACAGAGAAAAGATTTTCTAATAATTTATAGCTTTAGCTTGCGAGCTAAAGTGAGGGCTGCCTGAACTTTGAGGCCCCATAGCCAGCTAGCTTAGGGTCGAAGACAGAGGAAAGAAGGCAATCTCTAAGCTCCGCTCTGCAATCTAGCTAGAGCCAGGCGTGGCTCATTGTAGCTAAAAATAGAAATTGCATGTGAGCGGAACGTGCAAGAAGACCGACAAAAAGGGGGCGGAATGACAGCTGCTGCGGAGCCCGCCCAAAATTGTAAATTCAAACAAAACAAAAAAAAACCATAGAAGAAGCATGCCGTTAGGCCAACTCCTTCCCAAATGCATGCCAGACTAGCAGGGGTTGGCAAGGTAAACCATACATAAAGCAAACAATAATAGTTTTACCTGATGCCGCTTCTGAGACTGGAGGTGGTGGAGTAGTCGATGAAGGTCCGGGCAGGACCCTGGCAAGGGCGGTATCCACCTGATCCCGCACAGTGGACTGTATAGCCTCCATCAAGGCCTCTATTGATAAAGTGGCCGGACCGCCAGGAGGAGTGCTCGTCGATGTTGTGGACGTAGTTGAGGTCAATGAAGTGCTTGAAGAAGAGCTACCACCAGCTCCAGAAGAGCTGGAGCTACTGGATCCAGAGCTTCCGCGCGTCGCCATCCTGAACCTGAGGTTAGTTTTGAAAAAAAACTGATAAAAATAAGAGAATAGGAGATAGAGCCGGGATAGAGAGAAAAAGAGCACTAGTGGCTGCTGCGAGAGAGGACGACGACTGAATGCATTTGAAATGAGTAACTATGGTTATATAGGCTCGCCTGAGCATGCGCAACAGATATGCCCGCGTAACCCCGGGGGAATTAACTTCGTCTAACCCCTCGGCTTAAACTCCAATAGGATTCTGCAACGTTGCAGAATCCTAGATCCGCCTACCTACCTGCAACTACCTGGGCTCATTAATTATTCATAAGGGGTGTGGTATAATTGTTAGTTAACTGTTTATAATAATTAACTAACTGTTATTAACTTAATTGTAATGAAGGACAGCTATGGTTACAGCAAGACAATTCTCAGTACTGTTTTTGTGTGTTTCAGCAAACTTGATTACCAATTCGTCAAGCTTATCCCACAGTTTAGATGACAAAGATCTTTCTATAGACTCTATACAGAAGTGCTAGATTGGACAGACGATCTTGTGTCATTGTAGAGCGCAAATAGGTTTTAACCTTTCTAAGGGAAGAGAAGCTTCTTTCTGCCGTAGCACTGCTGACACCAATGGTCATGGCTATCTGATAGCACTGTATCACTGTTGGGAAGCACTCTGGTACCTTTTTTTTTTTTTACAACAAGAATAATAGCACAATTGCTAATAGATAACATCAATAAAGCAATAAAATATTTAATGGAGTTATTAATTACAAGTCACAATGAACATACAGTTTTATATAGGAGAGAGAGGAGGAGAGTTTGATAGAAGAGGGCAGAGAGTTCCAG